TATCTATCTACATGGATGGTTCGCTCCACAGTGGCGGTGTTGGTGCCGCTTTTGTTCTGTTTAATCACAGAAACTACACAACACAGGTCTGCTTTTAGGTTAGGGCCCCACTGCTCGGTTCCACAGGCCGAGATCCTCACAATCTATAAGGCTGTGGAATACGTGTACAAGGAGTGGTTTCCCCATCGAATGGACATCTGTGTTTACACAGACTCGTTGACTGCTCTTCACTCCCTCTACAGTCCATACAATAGAGGTGAGTGCATTTCAAAAATCCACAACCTACTTTCTACAAATAAGTACCGGCACACGCTTCACTTCAAGTGGGTGCGTGGGCACTCTGGTGTCTCTGGCAATGAGGCTGCGGACTGGCTTGCAAAGCAAGCTGCCAGTTCCGGCCTCATCTATTTTTACAGCAAGATCCCCAGGTTTAAAGTTAAGTCCTGGGCTTACAACCAGGCCATCAAACTGTGGCAACGTGAATGGGACAACGGTCCCATTCACGTTACGGGGAGAACAACTTATGAATTTATCCCAGACGTTGGTGATAGGTTAAAGTGGACTTACTTCACCCCAAACTAACAACTGACACAACTAATCACCGGGCATGGCTGTTTCAATGCATATCTGAAGAGATTTAACATCAAATCTATCGACACCTGCTCGTGTGATAACTCATCTATACATGACACCAGGCACCTTCTCTGTGATTGCAAGTTCTACGAGCAGCAACGGATAAGGCTGATGGGCGAGGTACTCAAAAATTATTACAGCCGGCCCTGCTCACATAGCAAGTTGCTTAAGGACCGAAACATCTACAGTGCCATTATCGCCTTTCTGAGATGAACTGCAGCTCTCGACCCTCCTAATACTCATCAAGGAACTAGCACCAACTGAAGGGTCCTCCTCGAGGGCACCTTCCAGGTAAGTGGGCTCTGTCCAATGCTGGAGGCTTTCTGTGTATAAATACCCATAGCTGGTTTCTTCTGTACTAAGTATTCCTGTTTATGTATATTGGTTATATTGCATTTTGAGATGTATCTCGTTGTAACAACTGTAATTCTGTACGCATGTAGCTATGTAGATGATCTTAACTTAAGTTTTCTTCTTGTACCTTCTCCCCAATTATCTGTACTGTTTGCCTGGACCGCTTCTGCTGCGTGGCCACGTTTTCATCACGGGTTAATATGTAACGGACGTATACTTAATCTCTTCCTCCGTAATTACCTCTGTATTGTGTTGGCTTTGTCATCTGTACACCTGTGTTTGTTGACTCCTCTCTGCGGCAATGTCATGTCACAGTTACAGTTTAATGTATTTATATATTCCTACTTCCTTATATTGTACATCTGTCCTCGCATATTTCTGCTCCATGGTGTTTACACCACGGCCTTTGTACTGCTCTTGGTCACACCATTTTATACTTGTATTTATGATTCCAAGGTATGCAACTTTCTACAGTGTATTGCATCTCTACGGTACACCACATATCCTCAACTTATATATCTTTTGTGTATAGTTATAGTATCATTCGGTAACCAGTGTATCCTGTACTGTTCAATTCTACGTCTTGCTGTAGCTCATGACCTCCCCCCTTCATTTTCTAACTTCTCTTCCAACCTTCATCCTCTTTGGCCTCTGCCACCAATCACTTTCCCTTCCTTCTAAGACCTCACTTCATTTCATCCCCTTAGAGGAAATACCTTTGAGTAACGCCTCCTATATACTTTCAATAATAATAATAATAATAATAATAATAATAATAATACACCAAGAGCTTGCAAAGAAACACAAATTGGCAGATATCCACGAACCATACTACAAGTATATTCCACAGACAGTATTGGAAAATAACACGCACAAAATGTATTACGACAGAGCCATAATCACAGATAAAACAATTTACCACAACAGACCAGATATCACACTCATTAACAAACACAATAAAATCACATACATTATAGACATAGCCATTCCAAACACTCACAATGTACAAAACACATGCACTGAAAAAATTAGCAAGTACACAGAACTCGCCCAGGAAATCAGGCATCTGTGGAGGATAGATAGGGTGCTTATTGTACCTGTCGTTCTCTCCTGTACAGGTGTGATACCACACACGCTACACAAAAGCCTGGGAACATTACAATTGAGTAGAAATACATACATAACACTACAGAAGGCCACTATATTGAATACATGCCATATTGTTAGGAAATTCCTTAATACTGACACTGACACTGACACACACATTTAATTTTAGTTTTGTTTTGGTTGCTATGCCTTGACTCTGGTCCGGCATAGTACACAGCCACCGGTGTGTACCGAGTATAACCCATTAAACCTAACACATAATAATAATAATGTCTGGATGTGCAAGCATATGAAGTTTGCCACTTTCTTGCCTTTTTTGGTGTTGTTTGGCGGACTTTTAAATTTTGCTTCCTGCATTTATATAACGTATTCATATAAGAAAGTCTTGTTCTGACATACAATTTTATTACTTGGGGATGCAAATGCGAGAACTTCTTTAATAAAATTTTTTGCAGAGGCCTTTAACGACATTGCTCACTTTGGAAATATTGTTTCCAATAAACAGCGAAAATGTTACTTCCAATTANATATGAAGTTTGCCACTTTCTTGCCTTTTTTGGTGTTGTTTGGCGGACTTTTAAATTTTGCTTCCTGCATTTATATAACGTATTCATATAAGAAAGTCTTGTTCTGACATACAATTTTATTACTTGGGGATGCAAATGCGAGAACTTCTTTAATAAAATTTTTTGCAGAGGCCTTTAACGACATTGCTCACTTTGGAAATATTGTTTCCAATAAACAGCGAAAATGTTACTTCCAATTACTTTGCACTGTTCAGCCAGCTATCTATCGGCATAATCAAGCTACATCGAGACAAGTTTTCTATCCAGTCATTGTTCAATTCAGGTGAAGAGAGCTTGATTTCTTCACTATTATAACCAAGAGACATATCTATTGGCTTGCAACAATGAGCAATGTAACCAGCTAAGTAGCGCAGTTTTTGCAAAATCCTTGCAGTCGCAGCTTCAAAGCATTCAGCCATAAATACATTAGTTGTGTTTTTAGGCACTTTACCGCTTAGAGAGCACGAAATGACCAAAAGCCGTGAATACTGATAGACAGGATGGAGAAATTTCTAGTCATTTCTTGCACCTCTGAGTTCCCTTCAATCATCTTAAGTGCTTCTTCCATACTAGGAATTAATCCAATGAAAGGAAATGATGTAAGGTATTTATCAGCATCTTTGTCAACTGCTATGGTCATGAAGATCATAAGGAAGTGAGCACTGCAAACTGTTTCATTTTCAACTGATCTTCTCGTTTGCAGGCATGAATCCACTTACTCCTATGAGTAGGATGCTTAGGGAATATGCAACGCAACAGTTTGGCATCGTTTAACTTGATCAGTGAATACTATCTAAAAAACTCACACGTCAACACACTATTTAACAGATAAATATTTTAAAAATACAGTATTAAATAAATTTTACCTTATACTTGTATTCCGAGAACCAACAAAGCTTAGTTTCGAAAGTAAACGAACTAAAATCACAACGGTATGTCAAGTGTTGCCACCTTTTCAAAATTGCTGACCCGGACGGCAGTTTTGCGTTCTTTACTCTCTCCAGAATTTAATCCGAAGATTATTCTGTACACTGTACCTGAACTTGAGAATTCGTCCCTGGTTTGCAATGTGATAACCCCATGACGACCAAATAAATTTTAGAACAAGCGCTGAGGCCCGGATTTTTTGCAAAATAATTTAAAATTGCCATATTTTTCTTAACTTTTGCGCAGAGACGCGCTGTTTTTTTTTTATTTTGTGTAAAAACACTCTTGTCTCTCTGATAATCGTATTTGTTTATATAATTTACAAGAAAAAGTTTTTACACAGACAAAAGTTCGAAGTATTTTCATAAAAAAAATTAATTTAAAAAAATCGTATTGTTTAAAAAGTGTATTTTGCTTTCTAAATAAGACGTTTTGCTTTCAGAAAAGTAAGCATTCAGCTTAACGGCTCTGTGCCTAACCTTGTGTTGACAATGTTAGGCACATAATGATATACATAATCAAACGGATAAACATCTACCGTATTTAGAGCGATTTTTGAGATATCTTGCTATTTCTATGTAGATTAAAGTTTGCATTCTTGACTTTTCTTGAATATTTCAAATTGCGACATCATTTCCCATCATGTATTAAAAATGACTAATTGCATTGAGAACTTGATAAATTCAAAATGACAAATATAAATATGGTCTTATTGGCCAAAGTGCACAAATATTTGATTAAACAGACAAATCTCACAGTAAAGAAAATTTGATTCTAATGATTTTAAATTTTCATTATTCTTGAAAAGTATAATTTTAGAATAGTTTTATTATTAGTTTCTTATTCAAACTATTTTCTATAAGATTGTCTGTAATAATACTGATTGTGCATTTATCAATTTTATGTAAAATGTGTATTCAGTCATAAAATTACTCAAATATTCAGTGGGAAGATTTATATATACTATATGATGTATGTGCTGCATGATGTACCTCATGATAAATGTGTAATACGGTACGTCTATTTTTCTGTGAAGAAATGTTTTAGAATTTAATGTCATGAACTAAAGTTAAAATTATTTGTCTCGAAAAATGAACAGCAATCGTTTTTATTATTCTGTTTCGGTTTTAACTTCTATAAATAAATCATTAAGAAATAAGTGTTTTTGAAAATAAATCGATATGAAAATTAGGAAAATAGGTATTAGAGACTTTCCTTTACGCCACTATCATAAAATCGTTTCTGATACGTGGCTTGTTTTCATCTGAAGATTGAAAGCTAATTATGTTAATAAATTTAACTAAATTAATGTGCAATTTTACATTTATACTAATTATAAATTATGTTAATTGATTTACGTAATATATATAGTAAAATGTTGTACTGTACATGTTTCATTTCATCCAATTACAGATATATGTTGAGAGTAATATAATTAGACCAGCTGTATTATTGAATACAACTGAAGAAAAGTGGATTAAATTTAAAGGAAGATATGTACATTTGATAGACTATGTACTTTCTGAATTAGATTTGTCAACAGAAAATAAGAAGCATATTGATGAAATAATTGACTTTCAAACGTCTGTAGCAAGAGTAAATAGAAATATTGATCTTTGTTAATTAAATTAAAATTTTAAATTGTTTTCATACTTAAAATAATTTTAAATTTTGTGTAGATTTTAGATAAAGACTATGATGATAATTCAACGAATACAACGATATCAGAATTACATTCCAACTGCTCACAGGTAGAACAAATTTATAAATAGCAATAATTTTATGTCTATTAACTCTAATTATTATATAACTTAATCTCAGATCGACTGGAAGAATCTGTTTATGTTTTTATTTGAATATCTTCAACACCCAGAAGAATATAATGATCAAATTTTTTTAAAAGTAAACAGCATGGAATTCTTGACTGACCTATGTCAGCTTATTGGAAACACTAAAAATAAAAGGTGAGAACATTTAATTATTATCATGAAAACATTATTTAAGTTATTATACAATCACTTTAAACCAATCGAGTCAAAGACTGTTGAGTACACAATAAATCGTTCGTTTCTTTCTGGGGATCTGGTTTAGAATTTGATCCGAATATTTAGAATTTTATAAGTAACTTTATAATTGGGACTAACTTTTCATCTCCTGTTCTGGTTAATTCTATTGTTACCAATTCAACGTAATTATTAAAATTGAGACTACTCGGATTTCTCATTTTAGCTAATTACAGATACCTGTTAAATATTTTTCAAGTATTTAATAGATTTATTTTTCAATTATTAAAAATTTTCATTAGATTTTATGAAATAAAATATTGTTTACTTTTTTGATCAATTAAGATTCCTGTTATGATTGTATATTGAAAAATCATATCAGTTCAGTTTAATGAGCAATACGATAATTAAGCAGTAAAGATATTAATTAATTTGAAAATGTAAAATAATTTCCATTGTCACAATGTTTATAGCTCGATTTGTGTATGTAAAAATAAATGGAATGTTTGAATTATAGATAATTATAGTATTATTTTTTTGGAGTTTTTCATTCATTTTATCAAGAATTTATGCCGGTTGTGATATTATGGCCACCTAACGCCACCATCTGCAAACTGTCTCTGCATGATTTCATGGGGTTGTTTTGTGTTTTTTACTCTCTCCAGAATTTAATCCGAAGATTATTCTGTACACTATACCTGGACTTGTTAGTTAATAAAGCATTGCTCCATTCATTCAAAATACAATGTTAATGATCTTTACACCATCTTAAAGAAGCTCTCTGTGTACACATGGGTCAGAGGAATACTCACTGGCATCTTGAAAAAAGACCATCTACCTGAAGCCTACCGTAAACATTTTGTTAAACTCTAACACTAATTCTATATACAGTATGGCAGAGTGTTCTGCCAGAAATTCTGTTACGACGAGCAGTTGACATCAAATAGCGGCTTCTTGAATGGTATTGTTATGATAATGTATGTCAACAAGGAAATGGACGTGGAACACAAACTATTGTCAATGGTGAAACTATAGCAGAAACAATGCTGTGCTACTCCTGTATATATGAAGCTGCATATTTTACACATATTTGTGGGTTTTAATGAAAAACTTTGATTACACGCTATGTATTTTTATTCGTTAGAAACGTTTACATTAATTTTTCACTGTTTAGTTTGTTCATATTTTGCTCATCGTATGAATTGAACAATAGCACTCAGGGGTGGATCTACATAGGGACTAATAGAGCATAAGCCCTGGGCTTCCAAGTGTGAAGGGCCAACAAAAATTGAATTATTATCACAAATTTTTAATAATTTTTCATTAACAATGAGCACTTATTGATATGAAATTTGTCATTCAATACCATTTCATAAATAAATATATATTTCAACTCTGATTTTGATGTTATTAAAACAGAATTTATAACCCCGATTTAAAAATTTTTAATCTAACAAAAAGGGGCTCCCATTAGACTTCAATAAGCCTTAGGCCTCGAAAAACCTAGACCCGCCCCTGATTATGCTTATGTTCTGGATATGAGTGCACATGTTTTCTTATTATACAAATATTCTGTTTAAAACTTTTTCCGCTAGACAACACTTTTGCAGGCCTGTAAAAGTGCCTGCAAAAATTGAATTCATGTATTTAGTTTCAAACTGTTTTCTTTTTGTAGAAACAAACAGACCCTTTTTCCTATAGTCACCATGGATTCGGCTAGGCCCATAAGTTAGGTAGCAGGTGTCAGAGACGGAACCTGACGTGTGAGTGAGATCTGTTACAAAGTTTCCGAGGTTACGAAACTCGGTTCACGCAAGAGAAAACTGGATAGCAAAAAATGGTGGGCTTCATCATTTCCAGTCAAGGCAGCCATGACAATTTATAAGCCGACTCGGATTTGCTTTCAGGTCCTCTATAGCAACATGCCAGTGCTTTTCCTATTTCAATCTTATACTTATCTAGATATATGGTTAACCTAATGCTTGATTTTCATCACATCTAAAGATTTCGGGCAAATTTCAATCTTTGGAACTATTATGTAGGTTTTATTACAGATAAATAATGAGAACGAGATTCCCATAAAATCGTAACTGTTCGAACTTGTTTAAAAATGAATCTTTACAGTAACATAAAATTTCCCCATTGCTATCTAGCCTTGAATGAAAAAAGCAATTTACCATTATTTTTGATATTAAAAAATTATAAAGAGTACATTTAACATCAATAAAATTATTTTTATATTTAATTAAATACTAGAATCCAAATTTTATGTATACTTTTATTTATATCAATTCTTCTAAACAGAATAATTTACAACTTTCAAGTATGGGGTATAATTGTTCGTTATTTGCCTTACATCGACAACAATTTTAGACAGCTTTTAATCGATATGAGAGAATCTTTAAATTACAATCAAGAAACTTTAGTACAACTTCCGGGTATGAATAAATTGAAATGGAAAACTTGCATTAACGATATGGATATGTATACGGAGATCGGAATGAACTACGTGATGATAAAATCCATGAACAAAACAGACGACATTAATGAGGTAGACTAGTAGTTTTACTCTCATAATGTAACTTTATAGCAATGAAATATTTTATAAATTGTATTATGACATATTTTTAGGTGAAAAGTTATTCCAAACAAATACTCGAAACACTGGATGAAATATTTTCTGAAGAAGAGTGGTTCGATAGCTACAGCAAAAATATCGTCAGAATGAAAGTAAAATTTTAATTTTTATTTAATTTTTTCAATAATTTTCATATAATTGTTTTGCATAAATTATTGAGTATTTAAATATATATACAGTAAAACCTGTCTATGGCGAGCACACACGGTTTCATCAAAAAGTGGTCTTTTAGACAGGTGGTCGTCCAATACAGGTGGTGCTGTAATACCGTATTTCCGTACGTATTTTGCGCACTTTTTAGCCATTTCTATAAGCAAAACTCGAGGTGAGCAGAAATAAGCGAATTTTTTCAACGATAAGGCTATATGGGTATTGTATTTTATTTTTATCGGATAACTCGATTTACATGAGTCGTCATGATATTATAAGACAGATTTAACACCAATATTTTAAAGATTAATACAATACTCGCATTTTCTCGATTATAATGCACACTTTCTTTTTTCCGACTTAATTAATTCGACTCGGTTCTTTTCGTTCGCTCCTCAGTTACGTGTATTACGTCATCAATATACAAGCGCGTCCTATCTCTCCATCACTTTGCTTTTGGTTTTCGTTAGTTTAATCTTATTTTAACTTTAAAAATACTGTATTTTTTTAATATTTAATATTTTCTTAATTAATTAAGTACAATAAGAAAAATTATTAATTAATAATAAAACGATTTTATTATTTTTTCTCATTATACGATTTCATTACAATCGCGGAATCGAAAAAGGAAGTAAAACTGATTTTTGCATTAATGCGTTTATTGTTTTTTGAATATTTTGCGTGCGAAAATTACTTGGATATTATTTTTCTAAAAACATCGTGAAAATAAGGTAGGTTGATACAGAAACTATTTATCGCACATGTACTGTATATGAGCTTCAAAATAAATAAATAAAAATAAATTTTATCAAACGATGAGATCAGCCGATTAATTGTATCGTGTATAATATTTTACACCCCCAAGGAAAATACTGTAAGTCTAGAGTAAAATAAATTTTGTTTTCCCATAGTTAAACTTCGCCGCTAATTGCTTTTGTGATAACTTTAATACGATCTTCTAACGACGGCGCTTTGCATTTCGGACATTTTCCAACAAACTGAAATGAATTTCCTTTGTTGCTAGACTAATTTATTGCTAGACCTAATTTCAAGGGTAGGAGAAATGCCCGGGATGAGTTCGAACGAGAGTTTAGATTAATTCATTAAATTAGGTTGTTGAGATGGTTCTTACAATAGTTCAGACCAGATACATTCGCGAAAGTGGTCGCTTATTACAGGTGTTGTGTGTTGTTTTGGACCAAAAATCGATGCCCGCGGTCGCGTTACGCAGGTGGTCGTTTAATACAGGTAACTTATACGAAGACTCTATGGATAAACTATTCCGTGCCAGAAATTTTTGCCCGTTTTGACAGGTGCCCGTCGAATGCAGGTGGTCGCCTAAGCAGTTTTCACTGTATTATAGATTATAGTTGTTTTGCATAAATTATTAGTATCTTGAATAACTATTTGCGATCACTAGTGTGAGACCCTGGGCTGGGATGAAAAACATTCTTTTCACCAAAAATCAAAACAAAACGAATCTTGATCTTCGCGATTAATTAAAATTAAGGGAATAAGAGAACTAAATTATAAAGGAAAAGGAAAAAATAAAATTATTTTAATATTAAAACAAAGCGAAAAAAGAAAAATTAGTAAATTAAATTTTTTATATGACAAGACGAACAAAAAAGGACATATTAGTTAAGGTACAAGGTTCGTTCAACACCGAACGAAAGACGGTGTCGAATTGTATTCATACACAATCGCCTTTCTCGGGAACTGATCTGGTCCAATTTTTCCCGGTAACAGAGAAAGACTAATCTGGAACCGAGAAAGAGAATTAATGACCAGTAAAGTGACAATTTGCGAGATGGAAAAATATTTAAACCCAGGTAACAAGGACACTCGTTCTTTGTCGTGGCGTCCCACGAAGCTGTCCCTTGCTGGTGTGCTTCCCGCAAGATTCCACCTTCCTCCTTTGCCGATGTATCCTTCGAAATTTATAGACCTTCGTTGAGAGAAACTTCGGAAATTCCGATCTGCACTCACTGGACATCGTTTCCTGTTCGACAACTGGAATGTGAATGCAACATTTGGTCAGCGATAGGAAACCACTTTCGTCGTCAGACTTTCCTCTTCTTCTTAAAAGACTATGCGCCGAAGTATACAAGGACTTCAATCCTTCGTGACTATAGAATTTTTTGTAAGTGAATTGTCTAATAAACGGGTTGTGTTGTTTGTAAATGAGGCATCGATCTTTGACTCAACCGCTCCCACATGACGTTGATTATTACCGCTGGGCAGTACAGCGACATGAAGACGATAACAATATCACATATAATCGTTAATTTCGTTATGATAAGCAATACAATAACCCCGACCATGTATAGTTCCACACTTCGAACATATAGATTTAAGATCATACATAGTTTTCTATTTAGCATTTCTACATTTTGAGGCTTTTTGCCTTTAGGTTCCTGCTTACGTTTTGCAGCTTCTACATTTAGTGATTCGCTCTTCATAGTGGTCAACTGACTACAAGCTTGTTCATATACTCTGCATGTTTTAACAGTTTTCTCCACCGTTAAATTTTTGCTCAGCGGAAAGCTTTTCACTATAAATTTCACTAAAAACACTGACTACTATTCTGTCTGCGATAAGGCTTTCATGCAAGATACCGAATTCGCAAGTTGTACTCTTATTCAACAATGCTTTTGTTGAATAAGAGTACAGCTTTTGTTGAACGGGAAAACGAAGTTTTCGTTTTCCCGTTCAACAATTTTGTTAAACACAAACCTTTCATACGTAATGTGAACATTACATATGAAATAATTTACCATTGGGCGTAAAATAACCCTTAAACGCTTCAACTAACTTTTCCAAGACAGTTTTTTGTTCTTCCGAGAAAGTATTGAAAATGTGCCAACTCCAGACATAAATGCAGTAATTTGTATCTTTGCAGTCTTCCTTTCTAGTTCTGTAAGTGTTGCTATTATTCGAGATGTTGGTATCATGCCTTAATGGCAGTTTCTAATAGAGAGGTCGCGGCCGACGTTTTCATCGCGAAAACGTGTAGGTTGGACGTTCAGCGCCGCCTTCCTGTAAGCCTAGAAGTTTGACAATGGTGTTTGATACGTCGAGCATGATTCCACTGACGTTCCAATCGCCATTGTCAAACTTCTAGATTTACAAGAAGACAGGGCTGAACGTCCAACCTACACGTTTTCGCGATGAAAACGTCGGCCGCAACCTCTCTAATGTTTCCTCAACTAACGACAGCTTACTGATCCATAACTATTTCAAGGATCTGAAATGATCCTTCCTTCCTGATTTCGTTACCATGTCACGTCTGTCATATGCTAACGAAATTAAGTAATTAAGTATACATTCGATAGTCGTCTAGACTCGAATAGTTCGGATCAAACTTTCAGTAAAGTAGAGTTGTCAATGAGAACGCCATGAGGTTCAGTATCGCATTTGTTGCAGATGGATTGTTAAGTGACGTCACAATGTAGTCATTTCGCTTAATAACACTACTCAGTATTACCCTGAGAAGCGCGGTCAGTTGTCTGTCACTTCGAAGATTTGATATAACTACAATTAGGCCTCCAACGGGATCCCGGCTGTTTTTTCAACCGGGAAATTCTTGTCATCTCGGGAAATCCTGAAAATTTCTTAAAAATTCACTTTTTTCTTATCTTGTGTTAAAGTTGAGGATATTTTGCAAATAGAAAGTATAATAAATTCATAAACCGTCAGAATACATTTGTATTGATTAATTTTAAGCCTGCTTATTTTTGCTATAAATTTTTGCTTATGACATGTCACAGATTGTCAATAATCAATATGTAGCTTATTTGTGACAGGACTCTGAAAAGTCTTTACTTGTCAGAACCTGTAATATCTGGAATAATTGTGCTTTTTCTGTCTTAATTTCTAACCATGCCCAGTAGTTTCAATAACTGCACATTATGCCGGGTTGTGCAAATTGGACAAGAGTGCAAACGAATACGAAGTATGCAAGTATGTTTTTTTTCATAAACCTGATTATTAAAGTTAAACGAACTACCGAATTATCGGGCTGTAATCTTGATGCTTCTAATAAGCAGCCGATATAGACAAATCAAGAATACTAGACGGCAAAAGAAATACTGTAACGCATCTCGAAAACGAACTAGAAATCTTCCAGAGTACAGATGAAAAAACACATAACATCTTTCTTCTCTCAAATGCATTAAAGACGATTCCACCTGCATCGATTGAATCGGAAAGGACATTCTTAGTAGCAGAACTTTTCATTATTAAAATAAGAACTAGACTGAATAACCATCTTTGTATTTCAAAATTTTATTATAAAAATTTACAATAATATTTTGTATTATGTTTTAATTAAATAACGAAAATTACCTTCTAACTTAGAACTTTGATCTAAGTTCATTTTTTTTTTCTTTAAATTTTCAACTCAATTTAAAGGCATTTTTGTTGTAAGCAGTTTCCAACAAACTTTAATAAAGTTTTTCTGTAAATATTTACGTAATTCAAAAGTAATTTCTATACATATTTTACACATTATTAATACATTATTTTTATTTTGGAGGTTGCAGGACTTACTAAGTTATTTAAAAATGAAGAATAATTATATCATTCAATTTTAAGATTCATTTTATATCTTAAAAATAATTAATTATATCTCGGGATTTCCTGGAATACCAGGAAACAGTTCACTTTTGTCCCGGAATCCCGGGACAAGCAAAAGACCAGGAAATGACAAACTCTACCTACAATACATTTTCATTTAAAAGTTTGTCGTAATCCGAAAGTGTTGTGATAGTAGTTATATATTTATTAAATATTCCTAAATAATTTTTTATTTATATTATGTTAATTTTATTAATCATTTTGTGTTTATATTAAACAAAAACAGCGTAGTGTCTTCTATACTGACTGCCTGTGCGAACAGCACGACGTTCGACTGGCGACAGTCACAATCCAGATTGTAGGTAAATCGAGATCGAAGTGAATCGTGGATTGTGTGCAAACGTAGTATAACGGGGCTTTCGCGCGTTGTCACAGTTGCATCCGATGAAAAAGATTTGCATTCCGGATGATAATAATGGCTGCACATCCGATTTTAGTGCGGTTCTATTGTATTGTATTGTACCTTTGAAAATTCTTCTATAACGACTGTCGCCATAGTAACGGTCAATGACGTTTACCAAAGAAGACTCCAGAATTTTTAACGAAAGTCGTATGTTCTTTCGTCATATTATTAATTTTTTGGAAATTATTAATTTTAAAAGTTATTATACTCAGTGATGGCTATTGAAGAATTTCTGGAGGAATCTAAGGAAGCCATTGTGGATTTAAAGAGATATTTCCGTAATAACCCAAAAGGGTGATTGGGTACTGAGGAACATATTAGATTTATTATAGATAAATTTATTACATTAGCGAAGAGCGCCGAAGAGGTAATTAGGAAAAATACCATATTAGATTTCCTGCTTCAGAAATTTGATTTGTTGGCAACGAAAGAGGATGTCAAACAGCTGCTTGTTGCTCAAAGTGACAAAAATTTAGAGGCTATTCAGGAAGTGAAACAGACTATTTGTGACTTAGAAAAACATCCACTTTTAGGGCTGGAAGGTTCTCAAGGGACTACTGCTCTAATATATAGAGATATTTTACAACGCGATCTTAATTCTTTGAAGAATACAGTCTGAAAAGGAGTCTTCGTTACCAACGTACACTGTTCTAGTTTACAATGATAATAAAGAGAGCACATCGGAAGAGACTAAGACACTGCTCACTAATTCTTTTGATCAAAGATTGCATAAGGTGCCTACCGAGCGTATTCGTAAGATTAACAAGGGTGGAATTGCTGTTGATTTTCCTATCAGAGAGGAGGCTGAATACTTTCAGGAACAATTAGACAAAATAGAGAGATTAAAGGCACGAAACGCAAGATGGCGTCTTCCTCTTATGAAAGTGACTTCAGTCCCCAACTCAATTACCAAAGAGGACCTACTAGAATACCTGCTTGAACAGAATATTTTTTCACAGAAGTACACGATGGAGGAGTTTGAAAACGTTTTAAACATTCAATTTTCAATCAAACAGAGAAATGACGAGTTTTTATCATGGGTGTTAGAAATGTCACCGGAGGTTAGGGCAATGACTAAAAAACAAGGATATCTTTTTGTTTAGTGGAAAACGTGTAACGTTTATGATTTTTTTCCTGTACGACAGTGCTACAAATGTCTTGCTTTTGGACATTTGGCGGCAAGTTGCCCATCAGATAAGAAAGTTTGTAGTCATTGTGGTGATGATCATTTGTTTAAGACATGTACAAAGAAAAGTGAAAAGCCTAAATGTGCTAATTGTTTGAGGAGTGATAGATAAACATGAACATAACACACTTGATAAGGAGTGTCCACTCTACATTAAAGCAAAAGCCTTATATATTAAGACAGCTGACTACTTACCTTAATAATTATGGAATCCTTTGCAGGGCACAAATTGTTTAATTCATAGTGCTCCCTCTGCTTCTTAGCACAACAACTAATATAAGCAGATCGTCGCTTCTCTATATACATTTGTGTTCGCTGACTGTAAGAAATATGTAAGCTTCATCATCTTTCTCTGTTTTTGGGTTTAAAGTGTTGGAATTGATACTTGCAATTACTAGCTGTGTGGACTTTGTTTTTTTGACTTGTACACATATTAAATATTGACTCACGGGATTCTCAAATCTTTGACTTACAAATTTTCTGCACGGGATAAATGCTGTTAAACACTTTGTCAGAATCATTGTATTTACTGCGACTTTCTTTTGCGAAAATATTCCTGCAGATAAGTAATCTGTTATATGCTGCAGCAAGCTGCTGTATATTTTGTTCAGGTCTTTTATTGTCATTGTGTTTTTTTTTCTCTTTATTTTTTTTTGTTTTTCTTTTCACTTTGCTTTGTTCATCAGTGCATACTGTAACTCGGTGGAACTATGTAACGGATATGTTGCTGTAATGCTTACTGCGGGGCAGGACTTTGTACCTTGTTTTAAATGTACAATTAAACTAATGAATGAATGAATGAATGAATGAATGTATTGTATTGTATCTTTTTGAAACTTACGTTCTTAAATTTTTATAGTAACTTTTTAAAATCTTCACATTATATAATTTGTTTCCTAAATATCCATATCGCAAATAACCGATCAGTGAGACTAATTTAAAATAATTTTTTAAATTAATATTTCTGTTCTCTACATTTCTAACCTTTTTCATTTCGCCAAAAGTTTTATGTTTATTCTCCAAGATATTGCGGAAAGTACAGGCTTCCTCAAAACCTTCACATTTCACTCTTACCCTTCATAAATATAACAATATTAGGCTAAAATAACCAAATTTTTTTTTATCATTTAAAATTTAATGTTTCTTCCGCTTGCCTTTTGCCTAGGCATATATGCTGGTATTAAATGAAATTACTAGTTCGCCTCAAATATGCATGATTAAAAACTAAATTAGGTTTTAAATTTAAAACGATATAAGTATAATTATTTTTATTTAGTCAATTTTTAAATTTTATTAAATCGAGAATTTTGCCTTTAATTTTTCGTTCTTCATTTTAATATAGTTGGGAAAAATTCAGCAGAATATCGGATATAAAAATGGTTTTCAAAATGTGGAATTCTTAAATAAGATGTTTGAAAATGTAAGTGAAAAACTACTGTTTAAATAATATATTTTAATGATTCTGTTTTGTTATTCGAAAATATTATATTTATTTACTTACTTAACTAATTGATTTATTATCAATAGTTCAAGGTAATACATACACGATTGGACGGGCAAATGATTACAATATAAATAAGTAAATTCTATCTACCAGTAAAAATGTTGTAAAACATACTGTAAAGCAAATATAACAAATATCATTACCAAAATTAAAATCTTGAGCAAAAATATTGATAATAAATATAAATACAAACGGACTAAACATATTACCTGAAAATTATCTGAAATAAAAATAAAAAATACTTGAAAACTGTTGCCAAGGGATCACCATAGGAAAGGCAACAAATTTCGGCACGGAGGTACTATACATACATACCAAATATAGGCCCATATATGTAAGGTTAAACCGAAATTACCATCGAGAAAACGACCCACAGGGAAATTTCCAATTTCTCAGTGGTCCAGTCCACCACTATTGCAAGTGATTTACTGCCTATACACAGGCAAACAATAATTTATTTATACAGTCGACCCCCCCTAAACACGGTAGATACGTTCCGGATTTTATGAACCCATTTTCTACGAGTCCAGCCAATCACAGCCCGGCACGTATGCAGTTTACGGACTACTGCTGTTTGAAAGGTTTCTTCCATAAAATTAATCGATTCTAGTCTAATTCGACTCAACATTTCCAAAATACGAATACTTTTTTGGGATCAATCCATATAAACTATGCTATAAACAAAAAATTTTAGGATTACTTACCGAGCGTGCACAGTTCGACTACGCCATTGCTTAAGCTTGTTTTCGTCGTGGAGCTTGTCATCGAATGGCGCCCGCGTGCTTCCTTATTTTTTTTTTGCGAAAATTTCGCTAAACTTTGGAGACATCATTAATATAAATATAATTTTTATGGACGTTAAATAAAAATTGGTTTTTAGTAGGTCCGCTGCTCAACGGTTTGTACAGTATCCGCTATTGGTCTAGATTCGACCAATCCTGTCGCGACACGAGTCGGCGATGACGTTTTACCGAATTATACGAGTTTTTTAGCATGTTTGTACGAATACTGTCGCAATTTTTTCGCCGTGATATAGGAATCCGAACTATAGTAACCCGTGTTATAGGGGGGTTGACTGTATATTTTTGATACGTTCTTTTTGTCTTGAATTATATTATGGTTTTGTCCACTTTGAAGGTTACTATGAATTGTTATGAATGTTGAAAGAAATATATGTACTGTATTGTACGTATGTTAAAATATAAAGTTGTAAATATAAAATTTTAAAATACATTGCCAAACTTTCAAATGTAGTAAAATCTGTTTAAAGAGACCATCTATAAAACGGAAACTTTCCTATACGGGAAGAAGGCTAGGAACTAAACGATTTTTGTGTAAAATCTATATATATATATAAACAGGATGTTTGTTTGTTTGTTATACATTACAAGGCCGTTCTACCAATTGCTACGAAACTCGGCAGTTACGTTGAAATACTTCGAACTTAGATCATGTCGTAATTTCACCCCAAATTATCGATTGGATTTCTTTCTACATTTGATTGCTGGCTTTACATTTAGCGCCATTTATTGGTGATATAGCGCGAAATACGTTACGCCATTACAACATTACTGGGACAAGTAGCACATAGCACTTTCTGCGTGGAGTGTAGTAGTGTTTTGCCTCTATACGTCATACTTTTCTTGCTAGCAATATAGTCGTACTGGTTAGATATCTAACACCATTCAACGGAAAATTTTTGAATTAAAATAATGAATAACGTAACTTGCGGTACAAATCGAAAGTTCGTATAGAGTTATTCCGATACCCTTTCTTTTACGATTTCCGTATCTGGTCTCGACTTTCATCTATCTAACTCTATTTTCGAGATTAAGGAAAAACAGAAGAACGACAATGAGAATTTATAAGATACAATTGTTTCAAAATGCAGCCCAATAAGTACCCTCCAGTAACCGAGTGGATAAAACCACCGAACATCGGTAATCCGTCGTTGGTTCGCGCATGGCCAACGGAGTAACCACGTGGGTTTTCTTTGCGTTAGTAACACTTGGGGCCAGTTTTACATAAAAGTTTTTTCGGGATGCATTCTCCTTAGAATTTCGCTCACGTGTCGCGTTGCCATAACCAAATAAATCAAACCAATTCTAATCATTTCTATAAATACGATATCTACGAAGACATGCTTAACTGGGAAACCTGGACATTCCGCCCACTCCCTGATTTCATCTTCCCTTCATAACTCATAAATCCACTGCCCCAAACTTCCTACAGATACTGCTTAAGATGTTCTAACGTTCTGTCAAATTAATGTACTGTACGTGCAGCAATTTTAATTAAGGCTGTTTTAATAACAGCTGTGTAATCACGTGTCGAATCTTACTGGCCGCTAATTTCGTTTTGGCGCTTGGACTCGGGATAGAGATGGCCAGAGAGACGACTGGAAGAAGTGTACGCTACTAAGAATTTAATAATTCGCATTACCCGTTTGTTTACATAGCAATAATATACAGAAGTTGGTTAAGACGCTCAGCTAGCTATAACAATTATACAAAAAACTAATCCTTATCATTAATATCGCCGGTCCCTGCCCGCGAGAAAGAGATTTTACAATCGTTCGCGTAGTAGAAGATTGNATTGATCGGCCGTGTAGAATTCTTCTGTACATAGTTTAGTTGTCTAGTATTAGTTTAGTTTTAAATTCTAGATTAAAAAAAAAAATTCCCATTTATATGTATTCCCATTTATGTGTAATCTGTATTATTATATCATAGTAAGCTGATATTTACATTCTCTCTAAGTGTTAAAATTGTAATCTGTTCTTAATGTTATTGTGACATTGCAGTGTTCAAGGCTAGTTTATACCTACCCATTAGTAATGGGTTTTACATTTTACTGTAACCGGACCATTCCTCGTAATTGTTAATACTGTATAACGGTCTTGTCAACTTTTGTAATTTTGGTTATTAATAATTTCCGATGCAGCGCTCTGAGGTCCTAATAACTTTTTTCAGCGTTACTTTTCCCCTTTTCCTTTATACTTCTCCCTTCAGAACCCTTCCTTCAACCCTTTCTTCACTCATTTCTCTTCGTAGTGGGCTAAGTTTACAAAAGCAGACAGCCCTTCCTCCTCCTTTATTATTATTATTATTATTATATAATTCCATAGTTCGTCAACATAGACCTCTATTTGCACAGATTCTCCGAATTAGTTGTGTGCTTGGAAACCGAAGATGATCAACGTTTGAATACCATTCTAATTTCTGAAAGAAAAAATTCAGGATACCACACCACTCATTTTTTTTCCACTAAAATTATTTCAAAATAAAACAGTTCTATATACTTAAATGTGCTATGAAGTAAGGAAACCTATTAACGTATGACGTAGCTATGGTTCCAAAGTTGCCATTGTCAGCAACCTCTATTCTTGAACCGCCACATTTATTAATGATATAATATTATATTATATATAAATGAATGCACTAAGATGTCGTGGTAAGATGCCTAATGTAGTCGTTCAAACAAACCGAAAACTGAATTTTAAAAATAAATTCCTAAATTATGTAAAGTAAATATCACTCTATTAGTCTACTTTACTAAAGCATTATCTAAATAACTAATGAATTACCGTGCACCAAAACTGTTTTTCATTGTCAGCAACCACTGACAATGAAATCTGTTTGTGTGTTTAAATGACTGCACTTGGCATCTTGTCTAGGCCTGACAGTCCGGTTAAGATGATATATCAGCATGTAAGAGATAAATATATTATTATGAAAATGGAACCTGATTTTTTGTTATGTGTCAATATGTACTTTGGAAATACTTCCAAGAATTTCGTATTTGCATCTAAAGCGAATAAATAAAGAAACTGCACCTGGCATTTCTATCAAAAGGAAATACTTTGTCATCGTTATTCAATTTATTATGTATCTTAGAAATATATTTTATCAAAATATATTAATTTTAAAATCTTTAACGCATCGCAACGTAGTTTTTGTGAAAAAAGTTTTTAAACTGAGATGTTATAAGCCTAATAGTTACATCGAATATGTATAATAACCTGAATTAATTTAAAATGATTCTCAAAATTAATGAAAGTCAAAGACGCCAAATGTTGCAAAATCTTCGTATAGCACGAATTCAGTCTATGATTATTTTCTATTTGCCTTATTTCTAAATTCGAAAAAGTAAATTCATCGTAAAAAATTTCTGAATTATCGACATTGAAAAAAATGCTAACTTTCCTTGAAACCTAATCTTTTATTAATCTAGAAACTCTCAATAGATGATAGCTCAACCTAATTTTTTCTAAATTAAACAAAAATCTTGCCTGAAGAATCAATTTATTTCTGAAATCTTTGAGGAATTGAGTTAAAATATTTTAATCCAAGATTAACAAATAAACGAATACTTTGAAATTCATGAAATTGTGAGGGTTTGGATTTTACGATAACTTTTCGGGTGGGAAAAAAATTTCGAAATTAATTTGTGTTCAAATTTTTCTAGCAAAAAATAATTTAATTATCGGAGGATATGGACGTATCTTTTGCTAGAATCACTTTTTTCCCAGTTGACACATCGAATATGTCACCAGGAACCTAACCACAAAAATCATTATTGCATGAGGAAATCAACATTACCAAAGATAGGCATGAGAAGGAGAAGGTGAGGATCCCGAATAAAAGGAAATATCCGGTGACGACACAGAAACATCTGTCATAGAGTTTGTCTGTCATTGTGAGCTCGCTGTCTCCAAAGTTCGTCGCTCATCTCGGATACATCGCCTGTCGTGCCGATCCTAACCAAGCTATCCTATCAATTATAACAAGATATAACAAACGATCCAATTGGACTCGTCAAATAATCCTCATCCTATACGATTAAGACGAAAGGCGTCAAAATCCTCCGAATTCACCTACGACTAAAGAACGGGTCTCCTCAAATTTCGAAAGGTATTTATCCACCCGCGGATAATTGTAAACTCTCTCTCTCACACACACAGTAAGGGACCTGTGACATTAATGGTAATAGCTACTTTGTAGAGATATCTTATAAAACTAGTTATAAATCCTTATAAAGCGTTATAAACTCTTATACATACATGTAACTTACTTATCTAATAACGGGTATTTGTTAATATTGATCTGGTCGTTAAGCAACTTCTTTCACTCGCTGTTTCACAAACTTTCTCCATCCCGAATCCGAGTGCCTATAACGCGACCGCTCGCGCAAAAAAAACTTAGCGGTCATCGGTTTCTGTGTCTGTCAGTAAGACATACAGTGGTGTCAAAATCCTGACCTGGCATGGACAAAGTGATGCCGACCATCCTGTTAAGTGATGCCGAAGCATAGAGGGCGCTTCGAGCATTATCACAAATTCCTTTTAGTCCAATTAAAACCCAAACAATAGGCCTATATGCAACTAAAGTGTGAAGAAGTACATCAATTTTAATCTAGTTTTACCTATTAAACAGACTAACCTCGGTTTCACAAACAAGATGTTTCTTATCTATACAAAATAGACAGGATTCTTTATCTTTATTTTAAATGTGAACGATTTAGAAATTAACTTTATTCAAACGCTAATGAAACAATCTTTTTCCCTTCTTGAAAACCGCTCTCTTCATTCGAATTTAAATTGCTTTAAGTCACATCATTCCATCGCGTTTCAAATAAAAGTATAATAGCCAGGTTGCGGCCGGAGTTTTCATCTCTAATACGTCAATGTCGAACGTAGAGCGTCGCTTACAATAGCTGCGCTCGACGTTCGACGTTCACGTATTAGAGATGAAAACTCTGGCCACAACCTCGCTAATATAAAAAGTAAGCCCAGAGAGCAAAAATGCGAGTTTCATTTGTGAGATGCCGGGGTGGCAAAGGAGTTTCAGTTGTGAGATGCCGGGGGCCTTTAGACCTCTTATCGCCCACCGGTGGCCAAGCAGTCTTTGTACCCTGAATACTGGGACTTAGGTCGTGGGTTCGCGCCTCGCTCGGACCGGCTGGTCACGTGGAGTTTTTCGAGTTTTCTCCACGCCTGTAACGCCTAAATAGGCCAGTTTTTCTTAAAATGACCTCTCGGAAGGCATCTCCCTAGGCAGATCGCCCAAGTGTTGCATTGCCATAACTTAACCAACAACAACAACATAAGACCGCTTATTCGACGACGGTTTGGTCAATATCGTGTCCGAGGTTCGAGTAAAACAGGCAACCAGGTTAACAAATACGACAAAAGTTTAATATAAAAATCTAAATCTAAGGTTAATAGAAGCGGATAAAAACACAACTAAATACTACGCGTAAACGTATCGCTCGTAGGCGTTCCCGGTTTAGCTACTTTCACGGAGAGAGAGAGAGAGAGTTACAAACTTTCTACCTAAATACCTCTGCGAGAGATACAGCTGAATAACGGCGAATCAGTGCCCCGCCGGCACTTGTGCAGTTTAAGGTGAACGACTGTTTAGAATCGGTTAATTTCACGAAAGAAACCGCTCCACAGTCGTACCCCCTAAACTGCATGAGTGCCGGCAGGTCTAGCCGTTGTCTACTATGGCAAAGTGCGCTTTAGGCTGTTCCAGATGTGACGGGACAGGAGTCTTCTCCTTCTGCCGTGGAGTCCGTCTTGTGATCGCCGTTCTAGGGAAGTTTGGGAAGTCTGTCGGGAACAGGGTGGCTGGAGAAGTTCACCTGCTGTATGGCGCCCACCGATGTCCACTGGGTATGGCTGACGAGTGCCTGGTGAATAAAGCTCTTCTAAGCTCTCAGGGACGAACGTCTCGGAGTGCGGGTGCTTCGTCCTTGTATTCGTTTTTGCCTAGGAAAATGATCAGGTGATCTTTTGTTTAGTGACGAATCTGCAGGTGTGAGGTCAGAGGTGTCTATCAATGATGTAACGATGTCGCTTAAGTGAAGCTATCATGACCAAATTAGGCTCGAAACTTGTACGATGTCTTCTATTTACTTGTTCGACGGTTGACTTCCTCCTCCTTTAACAATAGGTTGTTTAATTTTACACTCGATTGTTATAATTCTCGAAAAGTTGTTGACAGTAAAAGTGATATTTAATGTTTTTTTGTGCGATGTTTTCTTAGCGATCGCGACAGAGAAATAGGATCAAGAATTACCTTAAATTAGCGCAAAATCGGGCCTACGATCCTCACACGTTCAACACTTCACAATTTCAAAGCCTGATTCGTGCCAAGCAACTTTCCGTTCAATTATCAATTTAGTAGAAATTTCTTACATAAATGCTTTTTTCTCAACCTTCACCAATCTCCGACATGTAAAAAACTATTTTAGCATCATTCATTTTATATTCATTTCCAAAGTTTCTCTAGATAAAGAAGAACATATCTTCATTATCTAATTCAGGAAAATCCCAAAGAAATATATTGTTTTTTTTCTAATATTTTTTATTTTTTTTATTTCTCAAAACGAGACTGTGGCCAGGTTGGCCTTTTACAAGCATCTTAAAGCGAAAATCAACAAAACCAACAAAACAAAACAAAACAAAACAAAACCAAAAACAGGAGTCGAGCTAAGAAAGAAAATTACATTCTACCTCAAGTCCAAAAATTAATTAATTAATTTTTGGACTTGATTAATTAAAAAATAAAACATTGAAACATTTCATTTGAATTGAGTTCTGTAATACGATGTTCAATATTCTGACAGAGAAACACTGAAATTAAAACTTTTCTAAAACGTTCGAGCGTAGCTTGTAAGTCAATAATAGCTCAGTCTAAATTCCGTACTCAAGAGAGAATTTCGTTTGTCCACTTACCTTGTCAATCAATTCGCTATTTTTCTAGATTCGAATGAAACAATACCGAGAAATCTGGTTTAAGGTTAACATCCAAAACTCCTCCCTCGAGCATCGTTTGTTTGTTTAAGTTATGGCAACGCATCACTTGGGCGATCTGCCTAGGGGATGCCTTCCGAAAGGTCTTTTTAAGAGAAACTGGCTCCGATTTAGGCGTTATAGACGTGGAGAAAACCCGGAAAACTCCACATGGCCAGCCGGTCCGAGCGAGGCGCGAACCCACGACATAACACCCAGTGTTCAGGGTACAAAGACCGCTTGGCCACTTGTGGGCACAACCCTGGTGCATCGCCTTTATTTATTTAACACTAGCTATACCCGCCCACGCGTTGCTGTGGCTCAAAATGTATCTACTATAAATGTATAACACTCCCCGCGGGAGGGAATTTCGAAAAATTCTTTCTTAGTGTACATTCTCTTGACGTACCCTATTAAAACGCAATTAAAAACTCAAAAACCCGCATATAAAATAGTATAATACAAGCAGAGTTCTTCACTGTAAGCCTTAATTTTGTCCCTCTCCCCCGTGGAGGTGGAATTTCAACATCTACATAACATAAAAACGTGCGTATTAGAATGCAAAGTTGTGTCAAAATTTCAAAGCAATCGGTTAAGAACTGTCGTAAATTTAAAATTTTGAACAAACGAACATTTACATTTTTATTTATATAGATTGTTAAATTCAATTTTTTTACATCTTTTATTGTTTTTTTTATATGGAAGATATTAAATCGATTTTTTAACATAATATTACTGTTTAAAGCAAATGTAGTATTTAATTTTTAATAACATTAAAAACAATAACAATTTTCAATCCGTATGATAATTAACATTTAACAGATATTGTAGTAACGAAAAAGTAATTATAGTAATTATTTGATATAAAATAAAATTATAATTTTTTCCAGATCAATATCACAGATAATTATATCCAAAATATCTTAGCTATGATTAAGCAAATAATTTCCAATGACTTGTTCAATCAAAGTGTTTATTTATTTATTCAGAAAGATAAGCAAATTTTACTTAATATAATATAATTGTTTTATATAAACTGATTGGTTATTTTTCTAATAGAATAGGATTAGTTCCAATGCTGGCTGATGCATTTGCAAAAAGTTCAGAAATAGGCAAGAATTTTCTTTATTCATTTATCAGTTAAAAACATGATGACTGAATTTTAATATAGTAGCATATTTAATTAATTATCTTATCTAATTAATTTTAAATCACATTTTAACTAATTAATTTTATAAAATGTTCTGAAACATAAATTTATATTAATTTTATATGAATATTATTAAATTTTTGTCTATTGTAGTTATACCATTAGCAATGTTACATCATCCCTTTTATACTTATGGATTACCTCAGTAAGTATCAAAAATCTAAGTGAATAAGTGTATATTTTAAAATAACTAACAATTTTTATCGTATTTATTATAATAGTTATCTTAATTTTGGTGGTATCGCCGTTGTAATTGGTCACGAATATTCACACCCATTCGCTCATTTGGATTTAAAAAAGGGTAAGATCTAGGATTTGAATTTTATAATAAAAATAATTATAATTGATTAAATTAGTGAAAGAATGCGAAATGTATTAAACACATTAAGAATTTGTAAATGTCCTAATTAAAACTGAATAAATACTAACAGAAACTTATATAATTTTTCGAAGATAAAGGAACACTAAAAATAAAAACTAGAAATAAATTAAATTTAAATACTGTAATGCAGAACTCTTTCAATCAGAAATGTATTATGAATTTTTTTCAGATTACAAAAAAACAAAAAAAATATACAGCAAATGTTTCAGAGAAGTGAATAAAAAATTCTTTAAAATAACTATCGTGAAATAAAGCAATAAAAACACAATTTAAATAAATGTGAGTTAATTTCAGGAACATTAATTTCTATGATATCTCATAATATATTTTATGATAATTTTTTGGTTTCTTATTCCATATCTAATTACTATTTTATATCGTATAATGTTTGTTTTTAATCCATTGAAACTAGTTTTTTAATGAGTAATTTGTTTTTGATAATTAAAAATTTAAGTAACACAAACAACGCTTGAACGTTGTGTTACCTTAATTTTCAATTATGAAAATAAATTACTTAGTTAAAATAATCTTGGGCGTATGTATAATTAGTTTTTTTTAAATCCTTATTATTTTTTTCTTTGTGTCCTCTGCGTGATAAAAGTTTAAAGAAAACTTATGTTTATTTTTATAGATTGGATTGAGTAATATGTAAGGTCGCCGACTTTTAGGGGCAATACGTTAATTGCGCGTCAGGAAAACCTAGGGGCGAATCGTATGTGGGTGGTGGCGGTAGGAGACAAAGATGACAAGTGTTTTATACGAAACAGTTTATTTTGACATAAAGTTAACTTACATAGTATCAATAACAATAACTAGGTATGTTGGAAGTCAGGTGCTGGTGGGTGCCCCGGGGCTTCGAAGAAGAAGAGTCCGACAGTGAACGGGTGATGTTTGGAGTTCTGGTTCCCCCTCGCACTGTTTGGCAGGAGGAAAAGCTTGGACGGTCGTGGCTGATAGATGGACGGAGGACCTGGAGTACTCTCGGCACTCGTCCGGAGGAGAATCGGCTGTTTGTCTTTGAGATTCGGGGATTTCATAAGATTTTCCCCGAATATCACCCTCTTGATTGGTCTCGTTTACCCACTTCCTTACCCCGATTGGTCATTCTTTTGTTTCTAGGCGAAACCCGAGACCGATCCGGGACGGGAAAAGGTCGGAGAGGTGATAACGGAGCTTTTAAACGGAGCTCGTATTTTACTACGTTATGGCCCTTTCCTCTGACATCTTTGAACCTAAACGGTCCACCAGATGTTCTTGTGACCATTTACTCCCTAACGTATTCGTGCTTAACAGATGCCCCTTTTGTCATTAACAACCCCTTTTCTCGATTGTTTCGACCCGACACTTGTTCGCTAACATCTAGACAAAGCTTACTCTCTCTCTGTCGACATTCCCCCCTGCTGTTTATCATCGCGTCGCGTTTGTCTTACAATACGTAAAAAAGTTTTCGTCCCATCTGGATTCTGTCATTAACATATCCTCTTAACCCGATTCTATCTTCGAAACTCTCCGACTTAAAAGTTTCGTAATTAGTCGCAATTTCGATGCGCTTTTACGACCCTCACAAATATAAAAAGAATTCAGAATTCAGTGTAACCTGATGAACGCTTTTGAATAAGTCCAAATATTACTTTTTAAAGAATTTATAATTTTTTTACAGTTGTGTTAACTAGTTCAATTTTTTATTCTCTTTCGAACATTAATCGACTAATTGTTTTTGTTTATATTATTATTTTAAGCTTGATAATATATTTTAACAGATAAAAATGATACTCAAGTTCTTGGTTTTCGACTATAAAAATTTTTGTTTACATATAGAAAAGTATAATATAAAATCTGTTATATGAAACTCTATTTCTGACAGGAGAGGAATCAGAAGAGGAAGTGAAAAATTCGACAGAGGTAAACGATGAAGAAGGAGATAAAATTAATTTTTCTGAAGAATTTTTGGAACAATACAAGAAAAAGAAAAATTGTCTACAATTTCAATACTCGGAATTTCCATTAGAAGGAAATCTTACGGTATCTCTATGTTTTTAAAAACGCTTATATATTTTGAACATGTTTTCGTTTAAAAAATAAATAAATAAACATAATGGTTTTCAGATTGATGGAAATCGAACAATTGGGGATAACATCGCAGATAACAGTGGAATCACTGTTGCTTTTCGGGTAATAATCGTCATTTAGAGTTATGCTTTTTGATTTCTAGATATTTTAAAAATATTTTTGTAATAATTTCATTACGGCAGGCTTACGAGAAATATCTTAAACGCCACGGAGAAGAACCTCATCTTCCTGGTCTCGACTTTACAAACAAACAAATGTTTTTCATCGGATATGCTCAGGTTAATTCAAACATATGAAATGTGATTACAAATAAGTTAATATTGTTCACTGTAACTAATATCGTAAAGTCCGATGAGTATGTATAAACATCCAACGATCGCCTAAATGATAGGGCTACAGTTCGGCTAAATTATTTAAGTTATAATTATAAATTTAGTTAAGAGATAGCGCCTGACGCTAGAGGCGGCGTAAGGCGTGGGCGACGTGGGCCACCGCCTACGGCCTCGCTGTCCGAGGAGCCTCGCGCTTCGAAGGTTTATGCTTTACATAAAAGCCGTAAACTCAACGAAAAAATTTTATTCTTCATATAACGATAAATATATTGCCATACCAAATTTGTTTTTATTTGTCTAGCAACATTTGCTGGCGTTGGGTTGCTATCGCGGGGAATCCTTGCCAGCCAGAGCTGGGGATTTCCCATTGTGTTTGTTTACGTTACTTTTACGATTCTCAACGGCTAGAAGGCCAATCAAAGTATCGCAGTAAAGTATTCCGTAAATAGTGGAGTCAAAACTCGAATATTATATATTAATCCCAGGCATTTTTTACACTTTGCGGTTGTCATAGCTAGAATCTGCTGTTGGTAGACGCAGCTAATTCTGTGGCAGCAAAAACATTTTTTTGATTTTATTCAGAAAATTTATTTGCTATTTTCAAGTTTCAGCAAACGCAAATTAAATGCAAATTAAAGCTTACTTTGAAGCCTTTATCAGACACAAGGTGAGAAAGTAGAATCGAGGGATTGAAGGCCGTATTATTTAAATTTGATGTTGAATGCATCGAAAGCTTAAAAAATCAAACGGAACAATCAGACACACAGTGATTATGATTCGGTTTTAAACGAAATGCTCAGTTTAGAATTTATCATATCATTACATGTATGGTATGAGATATTATCGCGTGTTAATATCATAAGCAAATTATGGCAATCTTTACAAGTCCATTTAAGCAATGCTCTTGAACATTTGCGTACATTTTGTGACTGGATCAAAGAATATCGACAAACTGGATTCGAAAAATGCTTGTCTGACGCTCGTCAATTTATTGAGAATAGCAGTTATGAACTGCCAAAAGACTTTAAAAACGAAAGGGTAGCCAAAAAGGAAAGAATGTTCGATGATGAAGGCAGCGATCAACCTATACAGTCTCCCAAAAGCAGGTAGGAAGCATTTTTTTAACACCAGGATTGATTCTATGATATGCAATATGGATTCGGGATTTATATCTTTAAATCAACATTTTGAAAATTTTGGTTTCTCTATGATCTAAGTAAGTTAAAAATATTCCAAAAGAGCAAATATTAAAAAACTGTCAAGATTTACACTCAGTCCTGCGAGTGAGTGAGAGCAGTGACTTACAACCTTACGAATTATATGAAGAATTACAAACAATGATTCCAAATTTACCAACTTCATTAAAGATGTGAAACAGCTGCTCTAATACATAACAGAAAATAACTTGAAAGAAATTTACCCAAATATTTACATTGCCGTTCGAATTTTGTTAACAATACCGGTAAGTACTGCCTACGCTGAAAGGAGCTTTTCAAAATTAAAACTAATAAAAAATTATTTAAGAAATACAATGGGTCAGGAAAAACATTCAGCTTTCGCACTTTTATCTATTGAAGCATATACAGTATAGCATATAAGCTGAATTACGATACAATTATTAAGGAGTTCAGTAAGGCTAAAAGCAGGAAATTTCAGTTTCTTTAATGTTTTCTAATGATAGTTAAAGAATACAGTTTGCATTTTTAGTAATAAAAATTTGACAGTTTCAATCGCTTTTTATTTTATAAAATCAGTCTTCTTGCGCCACCAGGGGGCCTCGCGAAATGCACCTTGCCCACATCAAATTTAGGTCTTGCCCCGCCGATGCCTGACGCCTACTTCTAGTAGCAAATTAATTCGTATTAATTATTTCAAATAGCTGAATTGTAGATCGAACATTCAGGCGATAGTTGGATGTTTATATATTGTTTAATGTGCCTTGTTTTATAAAATCTCATTGCTATTCTGTTATATATCTGGAATATAAATAAACAACAATAAAAACACTATAGAATTTTGATTTGTCATAAATAATTCAAAAGATATTAATTCCAATAAGAAACTTTTTATAAATATTTTATTTTATGTATAGATGTGGTGTGAATCAATCGAATCTATGAAAAAAACTTTCGAACATGATTGGCATAGTCCCGGAAAATATAGGTGAGAATAATACAATAATCTTTACCATGATCGAAAGTATAAATAGGAGACAATGAACATTGAAATGCTTAAAATAAAATCAATATTAAATTCATTTAGTTTTTGACAGAGACTTTCAATCATGGATACGGCTATAAAAGAAATACAATACTAAACTAATAATAATTGTAAATTTTGTTTATTTTGATTAGAGTCCTGGTTCCTCTAATGAATTCACCAGAGTTTGCTAAAGTTTTCAACTGTCCTTTGAAAAGTTACATGAATCCCGAGCATAAATGTCGATTGTGGGGATGAAATATATTTACTGTACATTAAAATTCGAAACTTGTATAAAATATTTTCCATTGATTGAATTAGACATTTGTTTATACAGATTCTATTAATTAAAAATTAAAAGAAATTTGTGCAAATTTGTTATTTGAGACTAAATTTAATCGGTATATTATAATTGAAAGAACGAAAAGAAAGAAATTAGACAGAATAGTATATTAAAAAATATTTATTTTAGAATATATTATTGAACACTTACTTTATATAAATGAACCACTCACTTTTTAACATTCGCTGCTCGCATCGCAATCTCTAAATCGTTCTGTTTTTGAAGTTTTCGTGCCGTTATAATTTTATTTATTCATTTACACTTTAATTTAAAATCATAAAAGGAACCTAAATGAAAACATTTATAAATATTTTGAAATATTTTAGCATTTATCAAATTTTAATACGTTTCAAAGAACAACATTTGAAGACATGATAATTCCGAATAATAGGATTGTTGCTTGCATTAAATTATAATTTTACAGTAATTATAAAAATGTAATTTGTGTTGTGTTCCAGACGTATAGAAAAGAGTGGACAAGAGTACGCACTTAGTTTTTAATACAATATAAATTCTTTGTTAAAAAGTGAATGTCTTAAAATTCACGCATTATAATTCTCCAACTGTCTTTCAGATTTTGTATTTTTTTATTGATATTTTGAATATGTCATTTAATAAACTTTTTCAAAAGTGAGCACATAATAGGCTAAAAATTTGCAGGACAATATTTTTATGTATATTGATGAACAGAATTTAATAAAAAATAGACAATTTTACATTAAATAATTTTTTTAATTTTTTCAATTAAACAATTTTTGCATATTCTTTAATCGTGACATGGAGGCTCTCTTCTTACAACGTATGCTTGCCAGAGAAATCTTTTTATTCTAATCTGTCCTTTTTCGGATCAGGAATGCTATTATTCATGTATAGCGATTTATGAGGAACGTTTCACGATGTTGTTGTTTCCATGTTCTTTGATATCTTTCTCTTCATATGTGCTTTTGACTCTACCTTATTCTTATATGGCCAGTTTGCCATTGTTTCGGATTTTTTCCTCTTTCCTCCGTCTTTTTTGTGTAACCTTCCTTTTTGGGAGTGATCTGATTTCCGCAAGGAAACTGGTTGAAATCGTTCATGATGAAATCGAAATGGGTCCAGAAGTAAATGGAACTACATCTATTCCTCCACATGATGGGGCTTATTGATCTCTGTATTTGCTACTGCAGATATTTATGTTTCTTTATCAACGTGCATATCGTTACTGCACGAGATACAAAAATCTCTTATCTGTAAACAAGTTCGCATGCGCATTTTACCCCACAGTGCCATGCGAAAATTTGCCCAGCAACATCATTTTTTCCAAAAACAGATCCTGCCATCTACACGGAGAACATTTCTAAATGTTTAGTTCACAATAATGTACACGAGAAACGAGTTTATCAAATCTAAGAAATGATTTACTTAAGTTTATACATAATTGTTAAATTAAGTACAGTATGTAAACAATCGAAATATTATATCAGAAAAATAAAAAATAAATCATACGTCATGATTTCAAACCTATTCACGCCAAGTAGATTATTATTAAGTTTTTAACAATTTAGCAAAAAAACTTATAAATTAACTCAGTAATGCCAACCTGACATTTATAAAACTAATTATATTCCCACTGCGAATTTTTATCCGCCACAGACTTTTACCCCACTTTCTTCTAATGAATTATATGCTCAAAATTTTTCTGTGTATTTCATTATCGTATTAACACTCAGTTCAGAAATTTTTTTAACTAGAACTATAACCCAGTTTTATAAATGCGAATTTTTGTATCATAAATTAGTATCGGAAAGTCTTACTCAAAATTTATAGATAAAATAAAATTAAAATGGTTTCAAAGAACAATAATTAAGAATAAAAATAATGATAACAAATTTCATAAAGTTTTAAGCGAATTTCTCGAAACAGGATTAACAATACATTAATTAACCTAATGGAAAAATATATTTAACAATATAAACATTAACGGCACGGAAGGATGTTTCTGAATAGCTTTTTATACGTCCAAGGACGTAGTAATTGATATGATGATGTTCTTAGTTGTGATAAAGATGTATTGAAAATACTAGCGTTATGTATAATTTGTAAAACTAAAATATCGTTAAAATTTTAAATACTTTGGTGGAAAAATAATGGAGAATTTAAAATCAGAAGAAAAAACATTCGAGGAAAAGTGAGTAGAATTTTTCTGTTATACTCTTAAAAAGATTATAGATTAAGATTTATATTTCAAACAAGCAATTACCATATTTAAAATTTAAATTTATATAAAATAAATATAAATAGAGAATAAGTAAACATGTTTGTTTTTCTATTTGTTTTGTATAATTTAAATGTGATCAATAATTGACATCTTAAAAATTATTAATTTGTTTTTGCTTGATCACTTAAATTTATCAATCATTTTAAAAAGTCGCGATATTAAAGAATTTGAGAAACCTTGATAATAATAATTATCACTTTAGTTTTCAATTTTATAAACAATACAGAGTTCAGAATAAAAACAAATATATAGTCTATTTTTTATTTATGATCATTATAACAATATATTAAATTAAAAAAAATAATTAGTATTTTGGCTTAGAAATTAAGATTATTTATATACAAATTCTTTAAAATGTATAATAAACATTAATGTAATAATTAATCATACAAAGTGTTTATATTTATTATAACAACACATGCAAATATTCAATTCAATTCAATTCAAGTTTATTAACGTAATTTGGAAAAGATTCCAGTTACAAGGGGTGCATTGGGTTACAAATATTAGTAAATATATAATATCTTCTGACAATAAATAATTATTATGTAAATTTCTTCTATTCTTAAATTTAATCATTCTATTATAATATTAAACAAAAATTAGAACAACAACAAAATTAAATATATATAT